ATCCAGTAAGGGATGGAGATTCTCTTTAGCCCTCCTTTTATTAGTGATGTAATTGCAAAAACATTTTTTACTGTCTTTTATGGCAGTGACCAGATTAAGCTCCAGTTGGGCCTGGGCCCTTCTAATCTTCTCCCTGCATACCCTCACAACATCTTTGTGGTCCTCCTGAGTGGCCTGCCTCTCCCAAAAGCAATACACTTTTCTTACTCCTTAGTTCCAGGCAAAGCTCTATTCAGACAGGCTATTCTTCCTTCCTGGTGGTTCACCTTTTGGCACAGAAGAACAGCCTGCTCAAAATTGTTGCAAGAGAAAACATTATTTACACTTACCAACGATGTTTGGTCCTCAAAAGGCCTGGTAATATTTTTCCTGAGAGGAGGAGAAAAAACAAGTTAAAAAAACCCAAACCAAAAAAACCCAAAAACCTATAAACAAACAAAAAAAAAAAAACAACAACCCCAGGCCCAGATAACCATTTCCTATTAGTTCTCTGATAATAAACCAAACAAAACCCAAAAACCTATAAACAAACAAAATAGAAACCAACCCAGGCCCAGATAACCATTTCCTATTAGTTCTCTGATAATAAAAAGTTTTGCATTCTACCAGAAACTCCAGCAGTAAAGGCTCAAGTCATTACTACTGCCAGGAGTGCCTTAGTGCCATCACTGTTATTCTAAGTACTTTCCTCCATTTCCTGTCTCTGGGGCCTGACCTGCAGAACACCACCACCACTACCACCAGTGACTCACAATGAATAACTGCCTTTGCCTGTTCATTCATTAAATTTAGACAGTTTACAGCTGTTTCTGCAGCACATTCATACAGACACCGGGTTCCCATTTTGAACAAGATCTAGAGCTGAATCCTGCTCCATACCAGCTACCACAGATCAGCACCAATGCTGATCACACATTGCCTGTTTCCAGTCTATTGAAAATTATCATCAGTCATCTTCTGCACCCTGGTCATTGTTCAAGCCCCCGGGTGAGCCTGCATCTCTGTTCATGCCCTGAAACCACCAATAGCTGTCTGTCTGACAGAAGACTCAAAGATGTCAAAGTGAGATCACTTACCTTTTATACAGCACAGCAAAAGGCTTCTTCACAGCATACTGCAAAACACAAAGTTTAACACATGTCATCTCTAAAACATACACAGCACTGTTGTTTTTATAACCCAATAGTTTGCAGGAACATGTGAAACAGTAACTATGCAGAGCAGGCTAGAAGACTGTACCTCAAAAGGCCTGCTCACAGTAATACCCTTCGAGCTGGTGACTCTCTTTGCTTCCAAATTAATTGCACAAGAAATTATTTATAGAAACTAAGAAATAAAAAATTAACTGAGAAACAGCTGAAATAAAAGCCATGTAATGCAATCCCTCTGCTTCTAAGGGGCATAAGGAAAAACAGGGAGAGAAAACAACTTGATTACAGCAGTATAAAAGAACAGGAAAACAACAAAGCAAAGAGAAAAACGAGTGTAGGAATAACTATAATATTTTGAGCTATGGAGTTAGGAGACAAGATTGGTAACTTTAGGTAGAGAGAAGATTGGTAGTTTTAGGAGAGGCTGAAAGCTCCCTATCAATACACACAGTCAGCTTGCAGGATTCTGGGATATAACTTAGCTGTGTGATACAGTCCCAGTTCTGTACCTAATCCTCCTAATCCTCTTGTTTCCAAACAGACTTGGCAACACTTCACTTATATGCTAGACAACTGGGAAAAAATAAAAGAGCAAGCTCAAAACTTCTGGCAAAGAAGAAATTGGAAGGAAGCAAGGTAATAACACCTTTGGAGTACTGGCCATTCTGAGATTTGGGTTACAGGGAGAGTGAAAATACTGATAGTGCAGCAGAGACAGAAAATTGTAAGAAAGAGAGAGGAAGGTTGCATACAATGTCCAACAACTTACAATGTCTTTAAGCACTTCGGTCACTGTTAAATTTGCATTTCCTCCTTTTATGAGCATGGCATTTTTTGTATTTTCATTTAGCTTGGGTTCTCTCTTCTCAAGAAATCTTTTTGCTCTCTTAGTTTTAGGCTTTCTGTAACAATAAATTAAAAGTTAAAAGCTTAATATACGTAACAAGACTTGACACTACAGAAAACAGTGACGCTAAACAAGAACTGGAACAAACTGTTCAAGTAACTTGTTTCAATGACTAATTGAATAAAAAACTAATCCCAACCTGCAGAATTACAATCAATGCCAAAAGCCTGCCTCAGGTGAATGTGTTTTTACTCCTCTTCATCCCTCCACATTAGCAAAGGTGATTTTACCATCTTGTGCTTTTCAGTTTCTGCTAATTTAGAGCTCAAGCTATACTAGAATTCCCAGCCTATTGCCAGGCTGAAGGATTCCCCTACCACCAGCTCCCTCAAAGATCCAGGAACTTGCTTATGAGAAGAAAACAAAGTTCCTCAAGGACCAGCAAGGGCCCCAAAATAAAAGCACAGGTATCTGTTGTCAGGAACCAGCGAGGAATGCTGGGCACTACCCAGGAGAAATACCGCAGCCTTTGCAGGGGCACAGACCTTATACACATCAGTGGCTACGTGCCTTAAGAATTACGGTTCTCCACTAGATTACCTTCTCAATAAAGCATTAATTTAATTTTCTTAGTTAAAATAAGCAATATTCCCCCTCCGACCACCACCCACACACAGAGGCGTCACAGCACCGTCAGGGCTGGAAGGGAGCTCTGGAGATCACTGAGTGCCACCCCCTTGCCAAAGGGTGACACAGGAACGTGTCCAGGTGGGTTTGGACTGTCCCCAGAGAGGGACACTCCGGGATCTCCCTGGGCAGCCTGCTCCAGCGCCCTGTCACTGCAAAGTTCCTCCTCAGGCTGAGGTGGCCCTTCTGGTGTTTTAGCTTACGGCAATTGCTCCCCACGCTGTCGCTGGCTATCACTGAAACTTCAGAAATGAATTCTCCCATGTGTACGGAAACAGATGCAACACCAGCGGTCATTTTAAGCTACCAACAGAGTAAGGGCCACTAAAAAGACGGCGGCGCTCGGCCTCCTCTTCCCCGCGCGTTTTCCACACGGCTTTTCCCTGTGCCGTCCCCCTCTGCCCGCCCGGCTCTCCCAGGGCTCACTCACACCACCCGCTCCAGCGCGTCCATCGCCGCCTCACGTGCGGCACCCGCCGCGCGCGTCACGTCCGCCGGCGCGGCGGGGCACGGCGCATGCGCGGCGCCGCTCAGCCGTCCCCCGGGCAATGCCGGGCGGAGAGCGCTTGGGCTGCAGCCTGGAGCAGGGGGGACTGAGGGAGAGCTCCCTGCATCTGCCACCTCCTCCTGAGCGGAAGAGGAGGGGCAGACACCGATCTCTTTGGTGACCAGTGCCAGGACCTGAGGGAATGGCCTCAAGTTGTGTGCGGGGAGGGTTAGGTTGGATATCAGGAAAAGGTTCTTCACCTGCAAAAGTTAGGGTTAATAATAGGAACAAAAGCTCGACCATTAGAAAAAAAACTTAAAATTTTAAAAGACCCCAACGTTATTATGAATGTACTCATTGTGTGTGATATACATAAAATGTTGTCAAAAAATAATGCTGATTACCAGATGAGCTAGAACAAAGACACAGCTCCAGTGCAGCACTGCAAGAAAAGGCTGAGAAGGCCAGAAACCAATGCTGCTGGAACACTCCTCGTACATAGGGAAAAAACCTGACTTACGTAGCATCCAGCTAAGCAACGAGTTAACAAAACATGGCAGAGTTGCTGTGTTTGCTTCTGTCCGAGAACAGACTCGAAGCAGCTCTCTGTTCTGTGGCTGAAGCAGCCATGGCGAGAGCCCTCTCTGCCACAGAGCTGGCACTCAGAGCCTGCGTGTTCCCAGGATCGTTATTCCAGTCATAATTGTCCTCTGTCTATCAGCACCACACAAATCAAGCGTGGATGATGATGTTTTTAAACTTCCATGGTTGCAGTTAACTCCAGAGGGATGGCTGTGCGGTATCACTGAAACCTCAAATGCAACAGCACCATGAGAAAGATCCACACCCAGGCTGGAGGCACACACAACATGTTCCCTTTTCTTCCTCTCCCTGCCTCTCTTTCCCCTAGGATTCAAGTTGCTTCTACACAGACAAAAAAAGAGAGAATAAATGGGAATGATGGTTTGAAACTGTCGCTGTTTTAATGACTTCTCTTTACTGGTGCTGTGCTGTGCACAACGCTGTGGGTGAGCTTCTCCTCTGATCATTACTAATTAAGGTATTACATAATTATGCTGGAATTAATGAGGTGTTCTCATCCTCACAGCACTGTTGCAGTTACACTGTTTTCGGAGATGCAGAGAAAGGTAGGAAAGAAGAAGGATCAGAGAGAAAATGTTTTCTGTTTTAAAATTGTTGTGCTTTTGAACACATTATCCTGAGTGCACCACACACTCAACTGTGACACAGAACAGTGTGTGGCACAATAAATGATGCAGCAGTATCAACCCACAGACCAGGTAGGCGGCACAATACGGTCACATGGACTAATCTGGGGACCACTGATGCATGGCTACAGGATCTTAAGCATAAAACCCTTCAGGAAAATTCCAGAGAGGAAGATTAGAGACAAGAAGATACTGCGAGGAAAAAGAAAAATGGGGTGGCCACATTTCAGTTTGTATAACACGCATTATATTATAGAGAAAATGGGGGAAGCAGTATGACAGATGCCTTTTTAAGACCTGGCTTTCATTTGCTGACAAGCTTGCAGTAGTTTTCAAGACTTGAGTGGACAAAGCCCTGACCAACTTGCCCTGAATTTTAGTGTTGACCCTATTTTACATAGCAACCTCCTAAAGTCCCCTTCCACATGAAAGATTTCTAAACTCCATCAAGGAGACAAAGGACACTAGAGAGAATCTAAACTAAGCAGTTTGAGGAGTATTCAATAAGAGCCACACTCACTTGTTTTCTTTCAATAACTGCTATACAAGAGCAGACAGAGTATGTGGGTGAATACGACACACAAGGTAAAGCTATAGTTGAAAAAATTCAGGTCTTTATTTTAAACAATTGTGTTTCTTTTTACAAAATGTTTCAGTCTGTACAATACATCAACATTTTTCTAAGCTAGGAGTTTCTTTTAATTATGTAACCATTTCCACTTGTCCAGTTTTGAGGTAGGGATACATACATTTTCAGTCAGTAATTTTAAAAAACACTTAAGCCCTTCCCTCTTTGTATAATTCAAAATAATTCAAACACAAAAGAACATAATGTCTGTTTTTCCACTATTCATTTTTCAGACAAGGTGGAAACCATGTCATGGCCTACAAAAGTTGGCCCATTAATTCTGTGAAGAAATCCTGAAAAGATCAGAGTTAGTATCATGGAGGTACATCCTCTAAGGCAGCATTTCCAGAAGGAGTTTCCTCTGCCCCAGAAGCAGAGCTGACAGGCAAAGGAATAGGGGCATCTGTTTCCAAGGTGTGCTGCTTTTCCAGGTCACAGTTCATGTTAGAATTGCCTTTGCCACTCACTTCTCCCTCTGACTCTTCAGTCAGTTTATCTTGGGCCTGAGCTGACTCCTCAGAATCATCCTTTTCAGGCAGAAAACTGCAAATCATATTAAGCCTGCTGTAGGAAAAATCTCTGTCCTTGATCTGCAACCACTCTACTCCACCTGATGTAAAGAAGGAAAATTCTATTAGTGACAAAAGGAGTTAACAGCAATACTTAATTTGTTTAAGTTCACTGTTATTAAGGCTGAGCCTGACCAAGACCTATGTAAAAAAAAACACTTAGAAAAGAAAGATGTGCATATCCCTCACCTATTACTTTTAACATACCCATTTACTACTTTTCATAGTCAGAAAATCCAATGCAGGACTAAAAAGATCTTTCCTTTGACCCAGTATGGCAGTTCCTGTTGTATTTAGGTGTCTGATGCCACTCAAACTCTTAAAATAACTTAAATATAAATCAAAATGCAGAGAAAATATTTCACTAATGCAATGAAGAGAACAGAATATTAGATCCCATATTAGATCTTCTGGCAATTGGTAATGACAACAGAGATAGGACACAAGTTCTTGCACTCTCTTTAACTCAAGTGTAACAACAAGTTGGAACAACAGGTTGAAACCAACCCCAAACAGAAATGGGATTTCACTCCCATTTTGATTTTTACTTAGTACATCTTGTCAATTCACAAGTGTATGCACAAGTTAAATTCCCTTTATGGTACAGAAACAAAGTGGTTTTCAGTACTTATCATCAGTACTGCTGCTCCAGAATCAAAAAGGCCTTTGCATTAAGCAAAATACTCTCTAATCTCAATATTACCTATACTATCACAATAATGGTTTCAGTTTAATATTACATAATTAATTCTATAGAGAGAAGTAGTATGTGCTGTTGATAGGAATGCTGATGTTTGGTTAGATTCTAGTTGACATTTCATTTACACCTATGGCCAGTGTCCAGCTGACTGCTCATGTTTAAGGTAAAATGGCTATATATTCTTAAAATATGAAGCAATAACAGTGACTTGAGTGAAAAAAGGCAGCTAAAAGCAGTAGGACAGTTCTAATGAATGCTGCTATATAAAGTAGGACAGTCAGTATTTGCCTATGTAAAAGTTCTGACTTCCGTACAAAAAAATAAATTAAGCAAACATATGAACCCAGAGTTCTGCCTACAGAATGAAAATCAATAAAAATGGTCTTCTAGGTATGTCTTTGCAAGTAATTTAAATTCATTTCCATTTAACTGTAAATTCAGTAAGTACAATTCAGTTATTTTCAACAATTACAGAGACTCAGAAAGTCCTTAGAAAAAATGATGGAAGTAGGAAAAAAAAATCAAGAAAGAACTACTAAACAGCATCTCTAATTTTGAAACTTCTAGATGACAGAAGAATCAGCAGGGACAGGGAGCATCAGCATATGTTTTCTCTGCTCTTACACTTCTTTGTAGTGACCTCCTAGTAGCCATTTCTAGAGGCAGCACTGGTCAGAAATTTATTCATTTTTTAAATTTAAATATACATATGGTGCCTAAAGAAGAAAGTTCCTTTAACTTCCTGCATGCTCTTGAATCAAATACTCAATAAAGGCTAACTCTCCCTGTGGATTAAGCATAATCCACTCATGTCCACAGACATAAGAGCAGAATCACTCACCAACATTCTCTTCTCCTTCCTTCTTTTCAGTCAGAAGGGTCCGTGTCATGTTCAGCTTCTTCACTGTGTGGCACTTGTATTTCAGCTGTACTTTTTGGTTGCCTTCTGCATCTACTAAGAAGAGAGGAGAAAAAAAACAATACCCCAATCGTTATAGTGGATTCCACTAGCAACTGAAACAAGATAAATATTTTTAACCTCCCCAACTACTGAAACAAACAGAACATCAAATCACAACAATTACCTTGCTCTGTGTTTTCTTCAAAAACCACACAGGTTCCCAAGGCATCTAGGAAAAACAAAGTGAAACACCTTTAGAGACTAATTTGTATCAGCTGCTGATAATGTGCCCACTGGCCCAGCTGTGGGAATGCTCTGACTTCCAGCCCCTCACAGAGGTGCAGCACTGGTGAGGAACTCAGAGCAGGCAGGAGTATCACAGCCATTGGAGTCACTACAAGGGAGGATCCCAGACCATTCTCTTCCAGACCAGTGCTGTCACCATAGGGCAAATGAAAGCACTACAGATTGCACAGTGTGCCAGTCCTGCTTACACAGGAGACAACAGCACTTTAAGGCATTTTATATCCCACATTTGTGTCTGCAGTAATACTAGCTGTGCACCCCAGAGTCAGGTTCCAGACATACTTTCCCTGGAAGTACCTGTGAACTCAGACTGCTGCTGCTCTACATGGTGTTATACAGCTACCCCACAACTACAGCATCTCACACTTCCAGACATACTTTCCCTGGAAGTACCATGGATGCATGGTTAATTTAGCAGTGAACTCAGACTGCTGCTGCTCTACATGGTGTTATACAGCTACCCCACAACTACAGCATCTCACAGGACCAATTGCAGTAAAACCAACGGATGTTAAGGAAGTTCCTTGGGTCACATGAAAAGGGAGAGATTGGATTCACATAAGTTTTCCTACCTTCATATTCTCCTGCAAATACATATCTGTCCACTTGCAAAATGGGCCTCTCTGTCTCTATTCCCTATGTAAAGAAGGATAAAATTGCACAATGTCAGGTCTGTATTAGCCCAGGTGAACTTCTCACTGTAAGACCAGCAAAGAGAGACATAGCAGAACCCAGATTATATCAACTCCTCATCATACATGTTCCATTAAGTATATTAAATGCAAAAAAAAACCAAAAAACCCAGATAAAACTCTTTTAGTAATCATAATAAAACCTAGTACAGAACTGTATAGGAAATGTTCTAGTATATTACAACAAATTCAGATCAAACTGCAGCCAATAATCTATATAAATTAAAGTGCTGTTATTTCCTCTAGGAAATTAATGTAACCTCCATTTCAAATTAACAGAAATGTAGGTGTTTGCATGAAGATTATGCTATTTTCTAAGCTTCAATTAATACAAGTTCTAGAAAGTGGAATAACTTTAAAATTGGAAAATGCACAGGGTGAAGAAGTCCAGCATAAGGCACTACATCAGCACCAGAAGTGCCACTGCAGGGTTACAGAAGCTTTTGTGATTACTGTGAAGCTTCTGTGTCTCTATTGTGAAGGAGTTGGAAATTGTTGCTATTTTATTTTTTAAACAAGGAGTGGAAGAGTAAGGAAGCACTTCTATCAGCTCGTTCCCTTCCTCTAGAGAGCAGGTTTTCCAATACACAAGCCAGCATCCCATTTTTCTTTATATTATATATATCTATATACTGTATTTTGATAAAAATCAATGTCTGAACAGAACACACTAATTAATGCAAAATGTCTTTGAATAGTACCTTGTGAACATCAGAATTATTCAGGACATGAAGACAAGCACTTGCTAAAGGTTTTGAAGATAAGGCATTACATGGTAAATTGCATAAAATACAGAACACCACACAGGTTACTATGAATTTGTGCAATTTTCCTCTTATACATTTCTGCATTTCAAAAGTACAAAATCAACAAAATTTAAACTCTGGGATTCCCTTTCTTCTACATAAATTGAGACCACCAATAACACTAAGCTAACACATAGAACATATTTTTGGGGTTTTTTTTCTTCTACAAGAAATAAATACAATTAATAACACATGAGTACTAAACAATATTGTTATAGGGGTTTTACAATCAAAATTTTATTTATTTGTCTGATTTGCATTCCTTTGTGGACCATACAGACTTGGAGACTTATCTTCCCCTGATGCAAGGAGCATCACAGAAAACTTGCTAAACAGAGTAACACAGAGCAAACTCTTTTAATTAAGGTTTTAATAACAGCTGTACCTTAGGAAAAGTCTCAAGGAATGCTTAATCTGTGAACTCAAGTAGACATGGATACAAGTAGTCCACAGTATGGATACTTTAACCCTTTAGTAGTAACATTAAGAGGGACTCTCAAAGCACAACTTTTAAAAGAATCCCAGCAGCAGTACTGAAGCCTCTGCAGCCATTCAGCCATCAGTATGAATGATACATGTAACAAATTTCAAGAGAATCAGATGAGATCAAGGAAGGAAACCTGCATACCCATCCAAAGACGAATATTTCATGAATTTTGATCATATTTCTACTTCTGACACATTCAGAATTTACTTTACTACTCATACATATTGTGATCAGTAGCACACTCTATGTTCTCTTCCATCTTTTCAGCCTATAATAAAGGTCTACTTTGAGAAAGTATTTGCAAATCAGTAGTACTAATACTATCTACACAACTCTCACAGTCTACATAAGTTTTGAAAAGCAAATAAAATCTGTCCTATACAGATAAAGTGATTAAAGAACTCAAAAGGAACAGGGAAAACAGATTCCTACAATAACCTTACAGTGAAGGAAACAATATCTAAAACTGCTCATTAAATGCTCAATACCCAGTTATCCTTTACAAGACTTGAACTTGCCAGGCCACATCTGCAAAAAACCCCATTGTAAATACAGTGCAAATCTTAAATATTTTGCTGTCCCTGTCCACTGTATTCCAGTTATTTGAGTAAGTGTGATTAACATTTATGGCTTTTTTAACATATGCAATATACAATTTAAAGAAAAATTAACTTAGAACATGAAATCAGAGCAGATACTGGTCCAAGCTTATACATACTTCTGAAACAGTTTCCTTATATTTATGCAATAACATATTCAAAGACTTTATGCTGTTTCTGAAAGAGAGCCCACAACATGCAGACAAGCACAGCACACATTATTTTCTATCAAAGATTTGATCTAATGTTATCAACGTCAAGAAATTTAGAAGCAGCCTCACTCCCTTGTTCACATCCATCATAACTTACCCCTTTCCTATTGTGCTGTAATCACTCACCAAAATCTTGCACTTGTTTTCACATTTTTCTAAGAAGTCTGAATCAATAATTCCTGATAGCTCAACCATGACCAGTTGCTCCTACAAGAGAAATTGATCAGGTACAGCTATAACCAATATAACAGAACTCAGAGGGATAAAAAAGGCCACCCTAAAACCAATCTTTACCAATAAGAACAGCATACAAAGACACAGCCTTTCTGGATAAACAGACCCCAAAGTGGAGCTTATGCTGCATTTTGTCAAGAGACAGAACTCTTGTAATACCCAGGGAAATTCAGTGACCCACTATTCCATAAGACACCTGTTTCACACTGGAATTTCCTGGCCTTCCTTCCTAGCAAGCAATGGGGGAAGCACTTTTTTCACCCTTGAAAAACAAGCATCACTATGGCTCTGGGGAGATCCCACAGCACCTTCCAGCACCCAAAGAAGGCCTACAAGAGAGCTGGAAAGGGACTTTTACAAGGGCCTGTAGTGACAGCACAAGGGGTAACAGATTTAAATCGAGAGTGCGTTTACATTAGATACTGAAATTTTCATTAATGAAAATATTTTTTTTTTTTTTACTGAGGGGAGAGGTGTGGCACTGGAACAGATTGCCCAGAGAATCTGTGGATGTCCCATCCCTGGAAGTGTTCAGGACTGCCCTGGATGAGGCTTTAAGCAGCCTGGTCTAGTGGAAGGTGTTCCTGCCCATGGCAGGGCTTTGGAACCAGATGATTTTTAAAGGCCCTTGCAACCCAAACCCTTCTGTGATTTTATGGCGATAGGAAGCAGCACAAACTGCAAATGCGCTCTCTGACCACGCCGTTTTCGGGGAAGCCCGAGGAAGAACAGCCAGAGCCACGCAGCTCTGGGGGCGGCACCGCTGTGGGCACTGAGAAGCCGCCGGCCCCAGGGAAACGCGCTCGGCCCGCGACCGGCCCCTGTTCCCGCCTGCCCCTCCGGCCGGGCGGAGCGGGGCCGGGCCACGCCCCGCGGGGGGCCGGACCCTTCCCCCGGGGCTGGGGAGCGCCCCGCTGTCGCCATCCACCAACCTCCACCTCGTCCTCCTCCGCTCCGTCGCTCCTCCCGCCCTCGCTACCCGCCGCCGTCGCCGCCATGTCGCCAGCGCCCGCCCCGCGCCCGCCTCAGCGCGCACCACGTGGGGCCCGCGCCGCCATCTTAGAGCGCAGCCGCCCGCCCTCGGAGCCGCCCCCACCTCGGGGCCAGCCGCCCTCGGAGCCGCCCCGCTCTCGGAGCCGCCCCGCCCTCGGAGCCGCTCCCCGCTCGGAACCGCTCCTCCCTCGGGCCCGCCCCGCCTCGGAGCCACCCCGCCCTCGGAGCCGCCTCGCCCTCGGAGCCGCGCCGCTCTCAGGGCCTCGCCGTGCGCCCGGCGGGCTCGGTCTCTCCTCAGCGCCGAAAACGAAAATAGGAGCTGCTTTGTACACTCCCGAACGCTCTGCGAATTTTTCTTGAATCTCAGATGTGGTACTGGAAAATAGGAGTCCCTAAAGTATCATCCTTCCCTCACCCTTGTATTTAAAAAAGAAAGGTTACCAGACACATCTTATTAACACAATGTCGTGCTTCTGGTACAGACCATTAGTTTAGAAAGCTTTTATTAAATAATAAAATATGCAGTTAGTTTCGTGTCTTTGCATGATGCTGTCTAGTTATCTTGGCAGGTTCAAATACTTCCCATCAAATACATCCTTCTGACCAGGGTTTCTGAGATAGTCTCTTAATTTATAAGTGCAGGATGTTGTTGTCCACAAAAATCAGATTTGTTTCCCAGTGTGCAACAATAATTACAATATAAGCCATTAATTATACACGTGAGAGAGACATTGATTATTTTATTTCAGAGTTCTGCAAGTCTGGGTGCCCAGTGGAATCCACAAATCAAGCACAAGAACTATCAACACCTTTTGCTATTTATACATGTCAGCAAACAAAGGAATTAGTGTTCACTGGCTACATGTTACATAACTCTTGTATTAATTAGTGTTCTATCTTCTATTGGTTAATTATTCTCTTGCTTCTTATGCTAATCAGTCCCATGGTGTTTCTCTTCTCTTGAGCCGATGGGTTTTGTGTCAATGATCTGTGGTTGGGATCTCCCTCTGCAGAATTACCTTTTGCCCAGTCACAGCTGGTTCAGCACAGTTGCTGGGTAAGGTTCATTTGTTTCTTCCCGATCTTGGGGGTTCTGCCCCATGTCCTTGTGGCCCATAAATTCTGCATTCTTTGTGTCTGCTGTCAGTGGTACGTCCTTCTGCCCAACTTTGTTAACATCCCTCTGGGTGTGAGATCACTGAAACCTGCCAGGCCCTAAAGCTTAGCAAGACAATTCTACCAACCAGTAATTTGTCTTTCTAACACCCGCACATCACTTAGAGCTTGTGGGCTGCTGTTTGTTTCACAGACTACATCTCCCATCTTGTTGATAAAGCTTGAAAGTATACAAAAATCAAACATTGAAGAGCATCCTTTTCTTGAGAAAATGTTGCATATTCTACATTTTGCTGCAATGTTTCACTCCATAATTATAAGTTTTACACCAGTTTTGTAATTTTCCCATTTTCTTTCCATATGCTATATTTCATATTTTGTATCAAAGGTGTCTTTCTACTCATTATGTTGAAGTCATTAATTAAAATGTTAATTTTAAATTGTTTACAAGGGAAATTGCTGAAATTTTCTTTCAGCCTCTCCTTAATTTCATGAAATTGACATAGATGTCAGCATTGCACCATATCAAGTGTTTACCTGTGTCCAGATAGGTGTGATCTAATGCATTTCTCCATTTCCTAGAAAAATTGCAGATCTTAATAATGTCAAATAAGTTTAGCAGGGTTTTTATTTGGCTTTAGGCTTTGTCTCATTTTCTCTTAAGCTTCACATTTTTAATTACTTTTTCTTAGAGCTTGTTTTGGAATATTGCATACTACTGTGGTAAAAACAGCCCATAAATCTGGATTTGTTCTAAATACAGAAAAAGATGCTGGGTCATGTTACCTTTTCAGCAGGCAAATTGCAAAGGCTTGAATTTTGACTGCAGGGAATAAAAGCTGTGGAACAGATGTTTGGTTTCCTACAAGTGTTAATTACCAGATATTTTAAAATAACATTTTGTACCATTGTCTGTATTTAGCTTTGGTTTTTGCACCAGGTCTTTCTCACTTTAGATAAAATTTTTGTTGTTTAAAAAAAAAGCTCTACCTCAATAAAGCAGAATCAACTCTCTATTCTGAATTTTTTTTTAATTAATTGTCATAACTGACAGTGCCTCTGTAATGCTACATTAATACCATCATTCTCTTTTTATAGCTGGAGGGAGGTGAAGTGATACGGTTAAAAACTACAGAAAGCCCTCACAGGAATGTAAATGTGTGCCAGATCAGCCTGTGTAAATCACAGACTGGCATGAACTGCTGTGAAGGAGCAAGTACATTTATTTGCTTTTAAATCAGCCTAAGTGTCATGTAGAATCCGGGTTCATCTCAGTCTCCCAGCCATGGTGATTCAGGGCATGCAGCTGGATGATGGGAAATTTTTGGTGCATTAGTGCCAAAGGTATTTTAGAAGAGATTACTGCCTTGTCAGGCTAAATTTGCCCTGGGCATTAGTGGTTTACCTTGGTCTTTGCTGTCCTGGCAGGAGTATTTTGACAACTTATCTCTTAAAAGAGGCTGTCCTCGGAGCCGGCCAGCGAGATTGAACTGCTTGATGAGATAAATATGGAAATACACATCTTGAGAACCCAGATTTTGGGTTTCTGAGGCCTCAGCTAACAGTCCTGTCAGTGCTTGAACAGATTTACGTGTGCATGCTGCCAGAGGCCAGTTCCTTGGTGGCTCTTACGTAATTCTGAGGCAGGGAGAACAAAATGGTCAACTTAAAATAAATGCTTGTGTTTGAGATTTGAGTACTTAATATGGATGCACTGGTTTCTGTGGGCTGACCTCCAATTAATGCACGTTAATATGTATTTTATTTTGGGCCGTGTAGTTTGCAAAATTTACTTGTGGAAGTTCATAGATTAGAGGCTTGGACTATCTATTTAGCAAATAAACATTGTTGCAGTTAAGGTGCACTACAGGAAATCAGGGAAAGTTCGCTGAAACACATAATGAACAAATTCTGGCTTACTACTTTGTCTCGCTTTTCCATTTTATTTTGATTTTTATCTTCATGTTTGAAATTCCTTCTCAATCCTTTTGCAGAAGGGAGGTGCCTTTTCTCCATTCCCTCCTGAACACATTACTTTCTTTGTGAGGCCCTGGCACTAGTCTATCTAAGTAAAAGGTTAAATGTTTTGTAAAAGCACAGAGTAAGATAAGGGTCTTTGCTTAAGCTCTTGTGTTCTTTTCTGTCTGTTTAGATTGTGAGTGTCTCTGGTTGAAAGCCTTTTGTATTATGTGGTGAAAAAACATAGGATTTAGCATTCAAAAATTATAATAGATCATATGTGGGCAAATATACACACACAACTTAATCTTTGTATCTGAGCTATTTGCTGAGTTGACAGCCTTGGGAGAAGGGCATTGTAGTTCCTAGGCTTATTTTCAGTTGGAAATGTAGCTAAAAGCAATAATGTGACAAAAGGTGATTGCCTGTGGATGTCAGAAAAGATTCTCAGTAAAATGCTACCACATGAAACATCTAAATGCCATAATACAGCTTGTAAGGTGCAGAGAGATGCAGGAGAAAGCTTGTAAGAGACTGTGTGTGTTTCTGGCTGTAGCTGGGGTTGCAAAAGGTAAATCATCCCCAGGACAAAGGTAATTTGCTGATAGTATTACAGAAGATTATTTCCATTTCTCAGCAGCTACATTGCTGAGCCTCTTCAGTTAGGAATTTGCAAGCCAAACCAGCTCACAGGTTTTGACAAAAAAAGAAAAAAAACCCCACAAAACTCCCCACAAAACCACCACCTGTTTGTTTCCTTTGCACATGTGCCTTTATCTTTTCCAGAACTCCTTAAACATTATGTAAGGACATAATAGGAATTATATTAGACAAAGAAAAGAAGGGTAAGTACAGTAAGGGGTACAGAGCTGCTTCTATTTACTGTGCCTAGTCTAAAATAATGGAGTGAGATTTTATAGTAGGAAGGGAAGGGGGAGCAGTGGGCTCACATTTTTTCCCAGTCTTTTGTTTATCCCCTGCAGAAGCACTTCTTGTTGTCTTTGACATCCATCACTGGCTTCAGTTCCAGCTGGGCTTTACCTTTTGGGAACTCATCCCTGCATACATGAACAACGTGTCTGTTTTCCTCACAGGTCCTTGATTCCATCTTCTCTCTGCTTCCTTTTTGTGTTTGAGTTTGTAGGTGCTCCTTGTTCACCCACAGAGGTCTCCTGGCATTTTTGCCTGACTTCCCACATGTATTTCCTGGGCTCCCATTTCCCTCCAGGGCCTTATCTTTGGGGTTCTGCCAAAAGTCCTTGAAGAGACACATTTTTCTTGTCTTCCTGAGGGAAAAAGAGCCTGGCTGTTAAAAGTGATGAATGCTGCCTCCTGCATGCAGCCAGCTCAGAGCTTCAATTGCTCCTTCCTTGGGAGCACGCTGAAGAAACTTGGTGCTGTATCCACATGTGGAAGGGATGCATCTTCACGTCCATGAGTGACAGGTCAGGAGGAGAGTGGTGTGGCACAGCTGAGAACTGCTGCAGTGTCCTTCATGGAGTTCTGAAACAGGGATCCCTCTCAGTAAACTTGGCAGGTGACAATCTTCTGAAGCAGGTGGTAACAGATAGGGAGTAAATTAAATTACTTGTTACCAGCTGGATCAGAAGGGGATGTCTATCTATAGACCTGACTTGCTAATTTATGAAATGTCAAAGTTTGGGATCTTTTACAGGACCTCAGATAATCTGGCATCAGTTATTTGAGATACCAGGATAAAAATTCTTACTCCTGTTGGGTTGAGAGCAACTGAGAGCACTTGACTTCAAAATTCACCGGGAATAATTATTATTCAGGGCCAAGCTCTTGTATAATCCCATCTGGCCTGTCGGTATTTCATAGAATCAGAGAATGGCTTGGGTTGGAAGGGACCTTAAAGATGACCTGGTTCTAACCCCCCTGCCATGGGCAGGGACACCTTGCACTAGACTGACTTGCTCAGAGCCCCTTCCAGCCTGGCCTTGAAAATTCCCAGGGACTATGCATCCACAACTTCTCTGGATAACCTGTTCCAGTGTCTAACCATCCTCATAATAAAGAATTTCTTCCT